TGTGTATTCATTAGACTGCACAAACCCTTTCTTCGTTAAAAGTTTCCAAAGTCCTTCAGTACCTTTAAATCGTTTGTTGTTTACAATAATGTCATCATAATCAAACCCAATCGGTTCAGAACCGATTTTTAGTTGCTCATCTATCTCATCGAAATAAATGCCGAATTGAGAGTCACTAGCTCGTGGTAGATATTTAGCCCCGACCACTCCGAGATTAACGACCTTGGTATCCATCAACTGTTTTATTGATTTATCCGCAACTACTTCCATTTTTTCATCTTCATCATCATCGTCTTGAGTGGAACCGATATAACCGACTCGGTCCGGTGTACTAGAGACTGATGGTCTAAAGTTGCGTTTCATTAGCTGGTTGTATTTTTGTTTTTTCAGCATTTCTTTTGTTTTTTTCTCCAGTACCTCATCCTTTTCTTTTTTCTCTTTAATCGCTTTGGTGATAGCCTCGTACTTTTTCTCCCTTACACGTTGTTCCTCCATTTCCCTAACATGTATTTCTCCGAACTGGTTTTGCAGAGTGGTTTGCAGTTGCTCCAGTTGTCTAGCTTTTTCAACTGTCAGAGGTTCATCTCGCGTTTTACTTGTTACTCGTGTTGGGGGTTTTGTAATGTCTTGTATTGCATGTGTATTGGGATGGGAGTTTGTAATCTCCTCCAGTTTCTTTGCTCGTTCTTTCTTTTCCTCCTGTTCCGCTGTCCGAAATTTTTTGACGAGATTCTTTTCTAGAGTCTCAAGTCGCTTAGCTTCTTTTGCATCCTTTGTGCACTTAGTAACACATAAATACAACGTAAGATTCACATCGTTATTCCAACATGTACATGTGAAACGTTTATTGATTGTAGAAACGCTCTTTACATAAATACGACGTTTATTTAGTATAGAAACGCTTTTGATAAAAATAGAACGTTTATTTAGTGCAGAAACGCTCTTTAATTTGAAATATCGTTTTTTAGCATAAACACTATCATTTAGTGTAAATACGCTCTTAAGTATAAAATATCGTTAATGTAACAAAATACACGTATTTGATGCAAAAACGTTTTTATTAGGGATATAGAATTTCCTTAAACATACATCTATATTTACCTAGATGCGTTTTTTTAGTAGTGTCTATTGACATAAAACCGTGAGGTTCCGCCCAACACTTTTTACACATGCCTACAAACTCTTGGTACATCATATCGGATCCAACAAAGTCGTTGTATATCTTTTGTGTATAGTGTTTGTTCTGTGTGAATATACACAAAAGATTAACGTTATTCCTTATTACTTGCATGTCTACTCGTCCGTAGCTCTGACTTAAATAAATGCAAGATATCTGTTTATGACGCCCTCGTATGAAATAGTCTTTTATTTTTGTTTGTTCTTCTAAAAGACAATCGTCAAACACCACCAAAGAATTGGACTTACATTCGTCTAGAGGTATCAAGTCACTGCAGTTTGAGTAAAAGTATGCAATAGTTGTGCCGAGTGCGTGCTCTACTTTTTCATAGTGTTTACGTAGCTGTGTGTATGCTGGCTGATCAATGGATCGGCTGAATACATAAAGGTTTTTGAACTTTACACCCTTTACGTTATAGATAAAATTGAGCAATAGGTTTGTTTTTCCACGCCCTGATGAACCGACTATAAGACATCTTAATGGGTGTGGTAATAGATTATTTATGGATCCTTCTTCAATGCAGTACACATTGATATCCATTTTAGGACTTATATAAATCTAAGACTATTACACATTCAACGTTTTCGTTTTGAAGCAAGCGATTGTTTTGATCTCGGAGAGTGATGTCAATTCGGTTGATCGTTTGTAAACCATTCCTCAGAGGAACGTACAACTTCTCCGTTGGCACTTCATATATCTTGTAGCCATGTGCTACATTCAGGAAGAACGTGTACAACAGTTCTGCTTCCACATGTTTGTGTCTGTTCTCATCGTGGTTGATGTAACTGTGCTCTACGATGTTGCAGTGTACCTCTATGGCGTCCACAGCCCTGAAATTGGGTGCGTTTGGCGCAACCAGAAACGTATTGGCATCGTAAAACGATTCCTGCTCGGTTAATGGTTTCTCTCCAGGACTTGAGAATCCGATGAATGAAGCCGCCTTTTCGTCGAGGTAAAATTTCAATGGACTTGTTATTGCAATACGATCGTTTTCCCTTTTGATTGAAAATTGGTTGGTAGGTACGTTAAGTTTCAATGCAGTAATATATTCGTTGATTTTTTCATTTAGTTTTTCAATAGTCCAATATCCCCTTGAGATCGTAAATGGCGTCGAGATCAGATAAATATTGCTGTCCCAAAAATATATGTTACCCGGTTCTAACACGTTGTTTATGTAGTTCTCCGACATAAAGCTAACTAGAGCTAGTCGGCACTTGCTACCATCACTGAGGCGGATAGGGTGCTCTGGATGGAATGTCATTTGGCATCCTTTGCCCCGGATTTTCACTAGCGGCATCTTTGTCACTTATATCATAACCATTTTGTGCTCTCTTTAAATTTATAATGTCATCGTGTATATTACCCAATATCGTGTTAAGGTTTGTCTGGAATATAACCAGTTTTTCATTTAACTCGTTTAGTTCTTTCCTTACGATCACGTCATAAAGATCTTTTGATCTGCTGACTTTTCCTATTCTTCGATGTCCGTTTAAATTCACCACCTCAGGGTTCGAAACATCGAATGTTTTTGTTAGTCTATCCACTGTTGATTTGACAGTATCTAGTTGATATTTGTTTACAACATCATGTTTATCAATTGCATTGGAGACGCTAACTAAACGTTTGCTTTTAAAACCAATGAAATTATCCTTGATGTTCATCGTAGATTCTATTTTACCAAGTCTATTGTTTAATGCTACATGGCTCGAATCGTCGTTAGGTGTTCTCATCATTTTCTTCATTTCCGAAAGACCTGATTTGACAAGATCTCTAATTTCAGACTTTGTGATTCGATTTGTTGACGAATTGAGCTTTGGTAGTCCACCTCGTCCCCGAATCTATTGAACATGAATCTTCTGCTGCCACCACCAACTCCATACGTATTTATCATCCCGTATAGCTCTTATGATATCATCCCAAGGCTCATCACTAGAGTTTCGTCGTAAAACCTCCAAACACAAATGACCACAGATAGGTGGATCATTATACTCTTGAACAGCAATTTCATTGTAGAAGAGATCGTTTGAACCTAAATAGTCTATTAGTTCTAGTGGTGGGGGTGCGTTTCCAAACGAATCGAAATAGAACTTTTTGTTTTTGTCTTTAACATAACAAGTCCAATGGGTTCCAGAAGAATCGATATTACCCAGATTCAAGATTCCACATTCAAACTCCATAGGGGCTTCGGGTAATATCTGTCTCATAAACACTCCTCGAAAGCCACGAATACCTAATTGGTTAGCATAAAGCTCTATTTCTCCCAGTGACATAGGTTCAAACGATTTTACGGGTTTTTTAAAAGAGAGTCCAGCTTGTTGTTGATGCATCGCTTCAGACCGGCTCCCTTGGGGTTTTTTTCAATTATTGAATCTAGCTCGTTATCGATCAGGTTTTTCAACCACGGCACGAATCGGTTCTTGAGAATCGGTGCCACCTGATGTCGTATCAATGGAGATATGAAACGTTTTCCATATGGCACCTTTGATTCAACCATTTCCAACATCTCTTTCAAAAGACCGCCCTCTTTGTTTTTCAAAAGCTGGTCGTAGCTCACAGCCAGACGTAGACCGGTTTTGTTCCGGATAGCTTTTTCAACAGCCTTGTGTTGTGCTTCGTTAAGCAGTATATGATCCGCTCCACGCGAGACACTATCATTAGTTAAACCAATTATAGCAGTTCTACGCTTCTTAAATGCGATGCGTAGCTTACGCTTCTGACCGTCGGACAAGTGAATTCTGTGCCTGTGCAGTTCACTCATTTTTAAGTGTTTCCCACTTATATAAGAGCCAATGGAAATCTACTGTATGAAATGCAAAAGGAAAACCACGTCTCAAGACAGTGGGGAGTATGTCAAAACCGTTAACAACAAATGGCGTTTAAATACGACATGCAATATTTGCGGTCAGCGTAAAGGCGCCTTCGTCAAAGTTCCAGAACCCAGTATGGCCGCCAAGGAAGTACATAGACCAGTGATCAAGCACTTTCCTCGACGACGTATTGTTACCCTAGGTATAGACGATCTGTGGGCCGCAGATCTGGTTGTCATGAGAAAGTATGCCGGTAAGAATGATGGCTATAGTTATATGTTAAATGTGATTGATACCTTTTCAAAATTCGCCTGGTCAGAGCCGTTGATGACCAAACGGGGTGCAGAAGTAGCCGAATCGTTTATGCTCATATTGAAGCGGGCAATTGACGTCAACGGTCACACCGCTCCCAGTCTGTTACACACCGATAAGGGCAAAGAATTTCTTAACCGTGATTTTAAGTCAGTTTTGCAATCGTACAACATAAATATGTATCATACTGAAAATGAGGAAAAGAGTGCAATCATTGAGAGGTTCAATCGTACGTTGAATGAAAAAATGAAAGTCATATTTGAGACTCGAAATTGTTTTCGGTGGTTGGACATAGTTCAAGACCTGTTACATCAGTACAACAACAGTGTCCATCGTACGATTCGTATGAAACCTGCAGAGGTTACTAATGCGGACGTACCTAGTTTGCTTGAGAGGTTCTCCAATATTCCTCACACACCTAGAAAAATAAAATTTCAACTAGGAGACAGAGTGAGGATTGTGGCAAAAAAAGATACGTTTGCCGATAAATACAGTCGCAATTGGACTAGAGAGATATTTACCATATCCAAAGTGCAACACACCTTTCCAATAACCTATAGAATCAAAGATAAAAGTGGTGAAGAAATAATTGGATCTTTTTATGAGAAAGAGCTACAAAAACCTTGTGCACACCAGGGCAATAAATAACAACAGTGTAAAACACGAAAAAAATATATTTTACAGGAATAGTTTTTTTTACATTTTTATGTACATTCAGTAGGAATTCTTCTATGGCCCCAGGGTAGCGTCCTTAATCCGTCTCGAAGAACACACCGTTTGTCGTCCTTTGGCGAAAGTGATTTCTTGAATTGTGTCGTACTATAAACATCGTGCAGGTGGCTTCGGATGCTGTTGATTTGTCTGTACACATCTTCGAGAGTCTTCAAACATCTGCGATAGTCATCTATTGTGATTTCATTTTCCACCACTGATTTCTTGATTCCTTTAGCCTTTTTAGATGTTTTTATACAATTCAAACCTTCCTCTACGTCAGTAGCATACATTTTTGACTTCAGTCCAACGTATTCAACCATGATCAGACCTTCCAGCTCATCTTTCATTTTTCCGAGAACTTTTTTGTTTACTCGAGGCATACCAAAAGGGTTGGCACTTTGATATGCACTCGTGTCGAACTCGTCAATAATTTCTTTCATGTCCATGTACCAGTCTTCTGTATATATGATGTAAATCAGTGAGTCGGTATCAGTATAGGTGAGTATGACTCGATCACCATATCTGCTCTTCATCACTTGATAGTGGAAACGGTATATAAGGGTTTTCGACACATCTAGAATAGCCGCCCCCACGTAAATCGGTTTGTTGAAAAGAAGTGATGTTTTGGTCATGTGCACAGCTGCAAGATGGTCCGTAAATATTTTCCGACTCTTGAATGTCGGTTTGGCAATGAATTTATCCGCCTGTCGTTCGTCGGTTACCAGACGAACATCCACTCTATTCCGAAGGTTTTCCATAGTTTTCCCAAATACCGCGTTATTCATAAGCTTGTAGAAGTCAATTTCGAATTTATTCTTTGCCTTGGTCCTCATGTTAGTGTTTAAATCGATGTATGGTTTCATCCACGGTTTTTGAGAAAACTCAAGAACCCGATGTATATTTTTTAGTTTCATTCCGAGGTTTAGATACTGTTTTAAATTTCTGTAGTGTACAACGTATCTAGATCGGTCGTACAAAGTGGTGACTAGTTTGGGTATTTTTGACCCAGGTGGAATCATGTGGTGAGGTGCGAGTGGAAAGTCTGCATGGTGGTCATGAATTTCTTCAGGATACTCGAGGTCAACTTCAAGAATGTAGCCGGTGGCTGCGTCATCACTGATGTCTAAAACATTTATTTTAGTATCTTTTCGCCATCTAAAGTCACCGAATGGCATCGCCTGCGACATAGCCCAAGCATATAGGTTATTCGCATCTAAGTACACCAGGTAGCTAGGTTCTTTGTTCTCATCGAAGCCTTGACTCATGTACTTGTTGTTGGCTCGAGCTTGTCTCAAGCAACACTGCGAAACACCTCCACGAATTCCTTTTTCAACCATTAGAATCATATCGGGGTCGGTTAGTAACTGGAGCTCTACATCAGTGAGTTTCAGCATCGCCGACCAGGCTAATCCGGGAGATGTGAAGTACCATGCTGGATCGAGACTATATGTTTGAAGGCAAACGTCTCTGAAGTTTTCCATAACGTCTGCCAACTGGAGGACGTCAATCTTGTTGTAAAACAATGTGTACTCTCTCATATCTTTGATGTTGAACTCATTCCAAACCTTTTGAGCATGCTCATAATCTGATTCTGATACATCACACTTATTTAATTTGTTTTTGAAATCATGAAGTTCCGGCAGAGTTGTCATATCATATTTTGTTATGTTATCCATGAAGTCATAGGGATAAACCCCTTTTCTTGTTACCAACTCTATCTGTGATGATCTGACAAATCTCTTTGTATGCTCCAACTGATCTGTAGTTAAATTGTTAATCAATTGGTCTAAACTTGCACTTAAAAACTTAAAAGAGTCCAAGAATCTTAGTTCCAACCCTCCCCTAACTTGAACGGTGAATGATATATATCGCTCATCATTTTGCGGAATCACTTTGAGTTTCTCACCTTGTCGTCCTATTTCTTTGATGAACTGATGTATGTCATAGCCAGAAAGGTTGTGCAAGAAAACAGGAATAAATTTGGGCTTAGTAAACAATAAGTTACATTTGGAATGGGCAGGGCCTCGATACAAACCGGTGAGGTGGTCGTGATCCCTCACTTTGTCGGTTTCATTAAGAGGTTCCTGGCAGATGTGACAGGTTACCGCTTCTTTATGTCTACGTATCTCTTCTTCCTCCAATGGTTTCATTGGAATGATCTTTTCATAGATTTGTTTTATCTCTACGGCTTCCTTTTTCAACGCCTCGACAAACTTTCGTCCAGCATCTTCCCCGAAATATGTCGTTGGAGGCTTTTCACTGTCAGAGATATAGTAACAGAAACTTATAGCTTCGTGTTTCTGATAGCTGTATGTGTACGATCTCTTAGCACCGTTTTCATCAACTCCCGATGGTTCACAAGTAGAAATCGGGAGGAGCATGCTCTCCAGATCGGCATAAATGACATAAGGAACTTTCATTGATTTATTGTGTTCTGTAAATCTTATTTTGTCATTTTTTCCAGCGGTAGGGAGCTTTATTTTTACGGCATCATGTCTAGAGCAGTCTTCCATATGTGTCTTCAAATTGTCTTCATTATGAAAGTGCTGAAGACAACGTCTGCATATATAGCTTTTTCCATGATGTTTTGTAGCTTGACTGCGAACTAAACGAGATAGGTTTTTGATTAGACAGTAGTGTGAGTTCGTTCCATCTTTAACCAACAACAGGTCTACATGCACGGGCTTTTCTTCATCTGTCACACACAAGGGAAAAACATCACTATTTTCTTCAAGACCATAAACATTGATCGATAATCCTGCACGCTTTTCAAATTTTTTTACATCAGTCAGTTTGACTGGAAAATCTATCCCATCAAATAACTCGAGAAATCCATCAACATAAGCAGTGTAGCTTTCGATCCGCTCCGGGTGTACATCTGGAGGGTGGAGTGCTGCTAGACAACACCACATGAAGCAACGCTGGTCATTATTTTTTATGTTTACAACAGCACGTTTCAAGCGAATTTTTTCTGGCAGGGCTATGTAACTAGACCCTTTCAAAGGCTTAAGTCGGTTGATATGTAAAAGAAGACATTCAATCGTTTTCATGTTCCAATTGGAGCCTTTGTGATTAAAACTTTCCATCTCAGTCAATAGTTTTTGTTTTGCCTCATTTAACAAATCTGATAGATTAGAATCTTCGTAAATGATGATGTTTTTCGTTTTGAATTCGAAATCAGATTCATCTTTTTCCGTAATCCCTTTAGCAAACTTTGCCTTAAGGATAAGTTGGATTTTCAATGAAGTTCCCTCATCACGAACCTTTTCAATTATAAGTTTTTTGGAATCTTCGATAAAAGTTTCAACACTTTTGTAACCATTTATTACTTTGACATTATTGATCTCGAACGTCTTCATTCGACCTCTGAACGCCGTTTTAGATTGGATGATTTCAAGTTTAGGTGGCAGCAGAGGCTTACGTGGGACTTGCACTATGATGGATGGCCGAACTATGATGGATGGCTGAACTATGACGGATGGCCGGTTTAGTTGCTGTTTTTGTATCCACGCCGCTTGGTGAGCTCTACTCCCAGTATGACGGGCCCAGTTTTTCCTAGTAATACTGAGGTGACATACATCACAGAATTTTAATGTTTTTGTATCGGCTCTCCTGACAGGTAGAACCTGCACGACATCCGAAACATCTTCTTCCTGCTCTCGAATGTCCATCATCTCAGTAGCACCTTGTAGTTGTTCCGAAATATCGAACTCACTATGTTGGGGTCGACGACGCTTCGGTGGTGTAGGACGGGTCTCGTTATCGCTGTCGTTGTCAGTAGGAAACGGCCGCTTGGTAGGACTTTGAACAACCGGTGACACATGATGTTCTCCGTCAGAGACCGAGGCAACATCCAAGCGGTGTTCTTCCCTAGCACCTTGTTGTTCCTCAATATCGTCTTTATAACATTGGAGCCAACGACGCTTCGGTGGTGTAGGAAGGTTGTCGTCATCACTCTCGTTGTCACTAGGAAACGATCGCTTCGTAGCACTGACACTAGCCATCACCGCAAATCCTCGTCACACTTATAAATAGTTGAAAACTTACTTTTCACGCACTACACAATTTCAAAGACTCGAAAAATAGCACCTCTCACAACCACCTCTCAGAGAAGACTGACGCAAGACCGGGCTGTTGCACAATCATCGAAACACATGACCATATATGGTAATGTTCTTGAACGTTCCAAGATGATCACGTGACCATAATGCATTTCCTTTTATGGTAATGTTTCTAGAAGATTCCATGATCACATGATCACAAGACAAGTGACGTCACTAAACACAGAATGACTCAACTCAGAAGACACGTAAAAATCAACATATAACCAGAAATAACACATTTGATGATTGGTAGGGATTGAACCCATGAACCTCAGAAACTCATATACAAACAATTAACTATACCATACCAAAAAGCAACAACATATCACCAAAAATAACACATTTAGTGATTAGTAAGGATCGAACCCGTGAACCTCTAAGATCAGGGACTCACAGTACTCCCACTACAATACAACACTATACAAAAAACAACCCAACCCATAGTAACTCATTTAGCATGAATTAGATACAAGTTTGACATAATATATTTGGTGGCCTTTACAAAGGCCATTTTTTATACTCTATGGTAAAATTCCGCTTAAACCTTCTTTCAGCTGTTTTTAACATTAGATACGTGAATTATCATTTGTTTCACATTTATTATACACTATAGCATATATATATACATAATATAATATAAAATAAAATAATTTTTTTTACAAAACCTGTTGGGTTAGAATTGAACCCATATACCTCCAACCAAAAATGATTGGTTAGAGTCGAACCCGAATTTAGTGGATCAGTCTCTGCCTGTAAGGTGCATCCAAATCAGAGGACCAGTCTCTGTCTGTAAGATCATCCTCTGTTTACATATGACGTCATGGACACACCTCCCTCCCCGACCTACCTCAACCCACGTGGTCTCTGATCCTCTGTTTACATGTGACGTCACCTTAGTACTCAGAACCACACCACGTACTGAGTCGCCGACCTACCTCACTCCACATGGTCACAAATCCATAACTACATAACTACAGTAGCAGAAAATATTGCTATTTGCACCTTGCATGCAGTGAGCTGAGCGGCAGACAATAGAACTAGACAGACAACAGGTCCAACTCCAATGCTGTCTAAATCAGAGGATCAGTCTCTGCCTGTAAGCTCATCCAAATCAGAGGATCAGTCTCTGTCTGTAAAGTCATCCTCTGTTGACGTCATGGACACACCTCCCTTCCCGACCTACCTCAACCCACGTGGTCTACACTCCTCCCTCCTCTGTGAGTTTCAAATGGCGTGTCACTATACATTGAGATCGAAATACTGCATCTTTATACAAATCCTCTAGTGAAAACATGAGCACCGAATGATGCAATCGGCGCCATTTTTGTGCAGTTGAGAACCTATTGGTGGTCCTATATAAAATGAGATTCAAAAGCTGTTGTCGTTTTCGATCTCAGCCGTGAGATCCTATTATACGACAAGTATACCAAATGAGAACTGATTTAACGTTCTTTATATCTACACAAAAAAGTCATCCAAATCAGAGGATCAGTCCCTGTCTGTAAGATCATCCTCTGTTTACATGTGACGTCATAGACACACCTCCCTTCCCGACCTACCTCAACCCACGTGGTCTACACTCCTCCCTCCTCTGTCCATGAATTCCCAAAATCACTACTACTCCCTCATCTGCCAGATCTCTACACCAAGCGTCCGAAGTCTCTCCCCCACCTATCACTCAGCTGCCACCCATTCAAGATCCGAATACTTCCCACGGTCAGACTACCCTCATCTGCCAGATCTCTACATCAAGCGTCCGAAGTCTCTCCCCCACCTATCACTCAGCTGCCACCCATTCAAGATCCGAATACTTCCCACGGTCAGACTACCCTCATCTGCCAGATCTCTACATCAGGCGTCCGAAGTCTCTCCCCCACCTATCACTCAGCTGCCACCCATTCAAGGGCCGAATACTTCCCACGGTCAGACTACCCTCATCTGCCAGATCTCTACATCAAGCGTCCGAAGTCTCTCCCCCACCTATCACTCAGCTGCCACCCATTCAAGGGCCGAATACTTCCCACGGTCAGACTACCCTCATCTGCCAGATCTCTACACCAAGCGTCCGAAGTCTCTCCCCCACCTATCACTCAGCTGCCACCCATTCAAGATCCGAATACTTCCCACGGTCAGACTACCCTCATCTGCCAGATCTCTACACCAAGCGTCCGAAGTCTCTCCCCCACCTATCACTCAGCTGCCACCCATTCAAGATCCGAATACTTCCCACGGTCAGACTACCCTCATCTGCCAGATCTCTACATCAAGCGTCCGAAGTCTCTCCCCCACCTATCACTCAGCTGCCACCCATTCAAGGGCCGAATACTTCCCACGGTCAGACTACCCTCATCTGCCAGATCTCTACATCAAGGGTCCGAAGTCTCTCCCCCACCTATCACTCAGCTGCCACCCATTCAAGATCCGAATACTTCCCACGGTCAGACTACCCTCATCTGCCAGATCTCTACACCAAGCGTCCGAAGTCTCTCCCCCACCTATCACTCAGCTGCCACCCATTCAAGATCCGAATACTTCCCACGGTCAGACTACCCTCATCTGCCAGATCTCTACATCAGGCGTCCGAAGTCTCTCCCCTGCCCATTACTCAGCTGCCACCCATTCAAGGGCCGAATACTTCCCACGGTCAGACTACCCTCATCTGCCAGATCTCTACATCAAGGGTCCGAAGTCTCTCCCCCACCTATCACTCAGCTGCCACCCATTCAAGATCCGAATACTTCCCACGGTCAGACTACCCTCATCTGCCAGATCTCTACACCAAGCGTCCGAAGTCTCTCCCCCACCTATCACTCAGCTGCCACCCATTCAAGATCCGAATACTTCCCACGGTCAGACTACCCTCATCTGCCAGATCTCTACATCAGGCGTCCGAAGTCTCTCCCCTGCCCATTACTCAGCTGCCACCCATTCAAGGGCTGAATACAACCCACAGTTAGACTACTACCCTCATCTGTCAGATCTCTATATTAATCAGAAAGCCATGCAGAAGCAACTCCATCACCCACCTACATCTCTAAGTGCCCAAAATCTCTCCCCTGCCCATTACTCAGCTGCCACCCATTCAAGGGCTGAATACTCCCCACAGTTAAGCACGGCTCACACTAGGCTGCTCGGCAGCCGCTGGTGATCAGCGGCTGGCACCAGCACCACGAAGCAGCAGCTTTTCCACGGGTCACACTAGGCTGCTTGTTAGCCGCTGGTGATCTTGATATTAACGATGTGTGAGGTTTTGTAACAAATCACTGTAAGCTGCTTATAGTGCTTATTTGACGTTTTTACTTCTTTAAAGAAACGTCCCACAAGTACTGTACGTTTAGTTTTGGAATAAAAAATCAATAACCTGCTTCCCTGACCACCTAAGCTCAGTAATTTCTATGCTACAAATACTACTTTAATCGCCTAGTTTAAAGCTCAGTTCTTGTCGCCATTTCGTCCTTTTTTGGGTCCTCATCCAGCACTACTTAATATTGAATTGAGGATGTATGAAAGAGAAATAATTTTATTATAAGATGCTTAACCGCAAGAAGAGACGTTAGTGGATCAGGCCATGGATACAAATAATTTATAAATAAAAACACTTTTTAAAAATGCCACGTTTTTAAACGCACAAAAAAAAAGAATCAGAAACATACCAAAATGTTTTACGAATGTCAGTCACCACCACATACATTCCAGGCATTACTACAATTAGTTAAACCTCTAATTAAAAAATTTAAACAGTTGCTTTTGTCCTTTTGTGTTGTTAAACCAAGTTGGAAATTATCTTTGGTCGCCGCTGGCACGCTTCTACAAGTGGTCAGACTGCGCTGCTCGCTGGCGTCAGCGAGTGGTCACGTGACCTCTATTCGCCGCTGCCTCGCTACCAAAAGTTGAACATGTCCAACTTCGCCAGCCGCTGACAAATACTCGCTTGCTGACGGTGCCAGCTGCGAATTTTGTGGTCACATCAAGCTGACAGTAGCGGCTTTTTTCAATTCGCCGCTGATGCCAGCCTAGTGTGACCCGTGCTTTAGACTACTACCCTCATCTGTCAGATCTCTATTTCCCCAAGAACCCCATCTCTATTCTCTATTTCCATTCTCCATTTCTATTCTCCATTTCTCTATTTCCCCATCTCGTCCTATCTAGAACCCAAATCTCAGTACTACAGGTCACTCCACCTCTGGACCTCTTTCACAGCCCCAGTTCTAAGAGATACAGTAACTCCTCTAGTCTATCAATAACTTTGGCTTGGCCTTCTACCCTGAAGTGAAAGAGTCTTGATAATTTGATATACTAAAAAGACAACAGAACTAACACTGTACTGCATTTCTTAGTAATCCTTAAAAGAGCCGATTTGCAAACTATGGAAACATAGGAAAATTATAGAACATGATCAAGGAGAAAAAATAGAAAAATAATGTTTTTTTTTTAAATTTTAATCGTTATTATGGACAACCTAATGCAGCTATGAATAAGGCTATTTGTAGAAAACACTAAAAAACAAGATTAGCTTTTGAAAAATGATAAGATATTTACAAGAAATGTTGATTATATCAATCCATCATGTACATCTTGAGTATTTCCATAATAATTGAGTAAATTCTTTTTAAAGTCATCAAAAATTATGACTGTTATTTGTTTTAAAGTAACACCTGTAGTACAGGGTGGCGCAGATGGATCGGGTGGTTTTAAAATACTTGTCAAACTGTTAGTTTTAAAGTTATTGGATTGAAATAAAGTGCAAAACGTGTAGTTACAATGGAAGTTTATTGAAAAAAATTTGTTAAGTTAGTTTTTAATAATTACACCCATCAAATGCCTTCCTTCTCGAGCGACGCATTCTTGGAGTCGGTCCTTGAGGTTCCGCATTGCTCGCTCATGCACATCACCAGGAATTG